ATTTCTTAACAAGGCAGAATGCATGAAAACTTAGATTGTGTACTCTGTGTGTTGAACATAGAGGTTCTTTTTCTTTGCCTCCCTCGAACTAGGCCCAGTCTCTCTCCATCTTTTGCTTTATCATTTGATTTGTGTACATTATGAGTTTGACAGCGATCGGTGAAGCTCGCTTCACTGTATCTCGCTGTACGATGATGATGATAATGATGCCCGGGATCAAAACGGAGTTAGTTGACGTCTGCAACGTCAGCTCATGAGGAGCCTCAAGAAAGACCGTGAGAACTGGTGAGCAATATTTGCTGACGATATAGACGTAGCACCTGCACCAGGGAATAGTCAAAGACTGTTCCGACTGATATACAGTACGGGAGGTCGGTGAAATCCAGTCACTGAAACGGCTTACAATAAAGGGAACAAGCTACTCACAACAGGGAACAGCGGCTTGATCATTGGGCGGAATACTTCAACGAACATTTCAGTCGGCCTGTCCCTACACCTGAAGCTTCGTGGGTATTGTCGCGCGATCCTCCGGCAGAAGCAGAAGTTCAGGATTTTTGTTGAATCTCTAGAGCAAGGAAAGGCAGCAGAATCGGGCTGACTCCCTCCCACTCTTGAAGATGGAGGGTGATCATCTTGTAAGCTCTATTACTAACTTACTGCACAACAGTTAGACGCAAGAGCACACCCCTTCATCTTGGGCAGAATCACTGATCTCCATTTTCAAGAAGGGATTTCACAACGAATGCGAAAACCACTAAGGTGTTATCCTCTCTTATACTTCGACGTCTGACTCCTTCAAGAAAAACCAATATCCGTGAACTGCAAGCCGGATTCGGGCCTGACTGTGGATGTACTGATTAAATTTTTACGTTGTGTCAGGTCCTTGAGCTACGTCACGCTCACCGTCCACCAACGATCGCAGTGTTCCTTGACCTGAAAGGAGCGTTCGACTTAGTTGACCGCGAAGCTCTGATGGATTCCCTTCCTCCAAAAGGAATGCCCCGAAAGTACGTCCACTGATTGGGGTCAATTTACTCACATGCCTCTGGTCCAGTAAAGATCTTAAACGAACGGAGTAGGTCGTTTGTCATCAGCAATGGCGCTCGTCAAGGATGCCCTAGTTCGCCATTCCTGTTAAATGTAGTCGTAGACGAACTTTTGTAGAACGCGCTAAGTGATCTCCAAAACGTAGGTATTGAATGAGCTGCCAGAGAAATAGTGTGTGATTTAGAGTACGCCACTGACATCGTCTGTCAGTTCAAATGTATAGAGGATGCGCAAAGCGCACTTGATAGACTAATAAGTGCTATCACCCCAATCTTGGCTGGAGGTTAATAGATGACGTGGAAACGAGGCTTGAAGAAATGCACAGAGCGATTAGGTAGAGTAGGTGTCTCCCGTCTTCTAAGTTGAGGTCCGAAATACTAACTGGTTGGTTGGGAACACTGAAGGATATGACAACTAACCTACAACAGCGGCGTTCTTGTTTTCATTTCTTGTCAGATCAGAATGCTTGAAAAGGTATGTTGTGCGCTTTGTGTGTTGACCAAAGAGGTTCATTTTCTTTACTTCACTCCAGTTAGGCCCAACCTTATCTATCGTGTGCTTCCTCTCCTTCTATTTATTGAAAGCTTGGAAGCGATCCGTGAAGTTCAAAAATTAAAACTTGTCCACTTGTTCTATCACTTCCCCAGGTAGGTTGGAAGCTTGACCAACCTAGTCTTGTAGCAACATTTTGCACTTTTTAGGATGCAATCCGCATGCCCAACATGGCTAAGATAGCACTCAAACAATCCAGAAACGCTTGCAACTCACCTAGTTCTTCAGTTAACAGTTTACTATCGTTTGCATTCTCCGGATCAGACAGTCTGCCACACGGAAGCAACTCGATGCCACTATCATTGCACGACTAAACGGCTATTTCCATCACCACCACATGGACAGCCATCAGTAAAGTTGGCTGTTCCTCTGGCAGGAATCAGTTGCTTAAAAGTAGGAATAAGTTTTATAATATCGGTACCGCACTCTGCGCGAATGCGGTCGAATAACTTACACGTTATTTTTGACATTTAGTCAAATTCTGAAAAGATTGCGAATAGCATAGCGTTGTTGAACAAAATTTATGTGTTGCTCAACTTTTCGGTCACCTCGGGTGGTTTTCGTCGGTTGGCATACTCCTGACGAAGACCCTTGCGAGGTGAACGAAATGGTGAGAAAAGTTTAAAAAAATAAGCTCCTGATTTGATTGAATATCCCGGATGTTTAATCCGGTTAACCGATACCAATCCATAATAAATTCTGGTTTTCACACAGC